AAACCCTGCAATGTAAAAAGTTCAATTTGATATATCTTACCTTCCTAACTACCCTTAATTCTATATCCAGATTTTACTAAAGATTCCCAAATTTTTATTCAAACTTTACTCATTACATACAGAGATGAAGTCTACCTCTTGTCTGTGGGGTAAACTTGGCAATATTGTAAAATGGATATTTTCTATTAAATTACAGACTTGTAGCTCCCCTAGGAAACTTGAGGGAGCACAGCCCTGCCTCACTCCAGGGCAGCAGTAACTAGAGCTGGCAGAGGAATCCCTGGGTAGAGGCAGGCGGGACTGGCTCCCACCCTCGTATCACTGCCTTCTGCTACTTTGCCATTTGTGCGTTAGACCCTTCTCTGGTTTATGCCACAGCTAACCAGGTCTCTCTCATGCTATCCTAAAGCTGTCACCCTTTGTCCCCAATCTCTACCTCTCCAAGGTCATTGCCCTCTTCCTGCCTTCTCTTCCCCCAGCATGCATCTTATCACCAGCCTCTGAGTTGCTTGCCTTGCCCTTTCACCCTACCAAACGCTTCTCCACCTGGAAAACGCGTGACAGAAATCCACATTAATTAGTCAAGTCGATCCCCACGCCTAGAGATGATGTCATGTGTTGCAGATTAGAACCAGGCTCCGAAGGGGTTTACAAGGCTTTGATACTTCAGAAGCAATTTGCCAAGCCCTTCTCTTCCGAGATCTTTCTAGGTGGGTTTGAACCTCTCCAACTCCTGGAAAGCCCCTACTTATTCTTTAAAAAGCACCTTGAAAATATCACTGTGTTTCTATCTATCTATATCTATCTATCTATCTGTCTATCTATCTATCCATCTATCTACCCTTCCACAGCATTCTTTGCCTATCTCCATACAATAGAGATTGCATATCATGCAGTTGCGCCTCTTCCACTAAACTGACCTTCTCAAAATCCAGGATCTTCTTTGGATTTCCCATTTGCCCACAGCAGTGGCTCTCAACCTTCCTAATGCCACGACCCTTTCATACAGTTCCTCATGTTGTGGTGACCCCCAACCATAAAATGATTTTCCTTTCTACTTCATAACTGTCATTTTGCTACTGTTATGAATTGGGCAACCCCTGGGAAAGGGTCCTTGGACCCCCCAAAGGGGTCGCGACCCCCAGGTTGAGAACCGCTGGCTTAGAGGAAAAGCCCAACGTAACGTTGAACAAAGGAGAACTTTCATGTGTTCAAGTATCTTCCAAACATTGCTCTCTATTGTGCTTGTTTGAGGGTGCAAAAGAGATCCCAATCTCAAGTATAATTTAAGGACATCCGTCTTCAAAGAGACAAAGGCAACACAGAGATGCAGACTCCTCTTCCACATGAGGGAGGCCATCAGCACGAGGTCAGGTTGCATGTTGGTGTCATGATTGATTTGCAGATCAGCACCTCATAACTACAGAAGCAGAAACAGGAAAATGATTGGTGCAGGTACATTATATTAGAAGGACTGGCTCTAGAACCTTCCAGCCAAAGCAGGCAGGGTGAAATCAATAAGGTATGACTCATGACGATTTGACATCTTTGGGAGTTACATGACCCCTTCAAAGGGGTTGGGAAAAACCATCGGAAAACACGTAAATATTTCACAATATATAATTGCCTATTGCTTTGTGATTCATCACTATGCTTTAATTATGTTCAGTTTGTAACAATGAAAATATAGCCTGCATATCAGATATTCCCATTACGATTCATAACAGTAGCAAAAGCAAAACTAATTGTATGGTTGGGGGTCACCACAACATGAGGAGCTGTATTAAAGGGTCGGGCCATCAGGAAGGTGGAGAACCGCTGTTTTTCCATCGCCAGTACAGTGCCCTCCATCAACGACACAGACTGCCTGCCCCTTCCTGGGCTGGCTGGAGAGGGGTGGAGGTAAGCTACTTTCCAAAGCACTCTGCCTGGGGAGCCAGATTACCTACAGCTTGGTTAAAAATAGGAAAGAATCTATGTGGGGGCCCGGCCACTGGATTTGGGGCTGTCACTGCCATCCATGGCCTTCTGCAAACTGAAGTGCTAAGTCTCATACATACAGATCGTTGAAAAAAATTGAAACTAGGTGTGCGGACCCTAGGAAAAATCAAAGGTAGTAAAAATGTTGATGCCAAGTGTTGGGGCCTGAATGGGCATGACTGTCCCTAATAGCTGTACAACTACCTGTTGTCCAGCTTAGTAGTTAGAGGAAGTCTCTGAGACCAGAAAGACGTGAGTGCAAAGTCTAGCTTTGCCATTGTCTAGCTGCGGTGTTAGGTGCCATCAGCTATGAACTATGGCGACCCTGTTCACAACAGAACGGTCTGCACCATCCACACAATTG